GTTAGGCCGCCGCCGTTCGACCTAGTGTCGGAACGCCGAGGTGCAGATGAAAACGTCGTCTTCGTAGAAACAATGAATTCTATGAGTTAATTGGTTCACCTACGAGATAACAAGCAAAGTGGTTCCTCCCTTCACGGAGAGTAATACCGTAATATTTGTTAATATAGAAATGTTCGATGAGGAACGAGGATTAACACGGAACGCGAGGAATCCGCTTAGCAACAGCCTCGAAGGAATCGATAATGAGCGAAGTTTCGTTAGGATTATCGCGCAAACAGCGTGGATACGCTTCGCGTGCGCCACCACCGGATCAGTCAGGATTCGCTATTTTCATTTGGTTTCTCTGTCTCTTTTTCACCGTGTCGATCGATGAACGCTATCGTGAATTTTTCAGCGATCGCCGGCAGTGTCCTCGAGCAGAAACGCATCCGCCTCCGATTCTCTCCGGAGAGAATCGATAAAAAGATGAGCACTTCGAAAAATGGCCCAATCAGAGGGAAAATCTGTATAGGCATGAAACGATCCCCGAAACGTTTAGTTCGATTGCACGAGAGACGTGTGAACATTGGAAGTACGTATAATACCGTGAAATGAATGGAAGATGCAAAATGGTTAGGATCGCGGACAGATCGATGAGACTCTGGTTGGTCCTGCTCTGTGCCGCTTTCTGGCTGTTCTATGTAGGAACTGTGTTTCGATTATATTCTTCGCGTGTAAATAACCGACATTGAAACGCGTTAAACAGTCCGATGGATCACGGGTTTAACACGAATCGACAATTAGCGAAGTTACGGGGAACCCGGCAAACAGTACCGTTTTATCGACATTTATGGCGCGTCCTGCACGCGTTGTTTATCATTGGGAACGAAATTTCATCGAGTTACACGGTCGATTTCTCCCGTTTTAATCTTTGGTTTCTCCGTTTGTTGTTGTGTTGGAAAATGGAAAATCGATTTGGAAATATACGACTCGTCGTGAGATGAGACGATAATATTATCCAGAAGCGAAGTAAAGAAACGATTGTAGGAACTCAACGCTTTTTATTAATAACAGTTCGAAATTCAACATGAACTTTATTCTATGCGAAATGCCCGTGTATCATATAAAGTTATAAATATTATAAATAATTAGATATATATTTATCCGGCACGAGACTCCTCGATGAACTGACACATACCCGGGAGCCTTTCTTTTATTTTGTCCGCTCCGGCTGAAACGTCGTCTAACCAACATCGACTGTCGACAGTGCAAGAGAAAACAGCTCGATCGTTGTTAACTTTTTTCATGGATCTTATTTCAATCTTTATGTGCATTTTTCTCTTTCATTTTTTTCCCCTAAAACGTGGAAGATCGAGTGGCATACTCACGAGGATCGGAAACACATTTTGTATGCATCGCGTAAAGATTTTCGTGAAAATAATAGAGATTAGAACTGTTAGTCCGGTATTCTGTCACGAAATAATTCGAGGCACTGATGTCTCACTTTCTCCATTGTTCTCTCTCGTTTTGTCGTGTGTATAAAAAGGAAAAACGATCCACCGCGACAATCGACACCACTGCACGCTTTTTAACTCTCTTTTTGGTTGGTCCCTAATGCTCTCTTTCTCTCTCGCATTCTCGCATTCTCTCGCTTTCGTTCGTCCACGAAAAAACGTATGTATATTCATTACTTCTATTAAGAATCATGGAAAAAAGCAAAGAGAACAGAACAACCACGTGTGGCGACTTCGTTACTCTCATCACTATTCTTGATTCTCTCCGTTTACATCATACGTCCTCATTAAATCAACGTGACACGATCAGAGCACCTGTCCCCTTCGTTCCCCCCATTTTTTTAATTATTATTCTTTCTCCACATTTTTCGCTTTTTTTATGTCGTTTTTTTCATTCTTTAGATTATGTTTCATGGCCCCAATATTTTACAAGACAATAAATGACGTCGTTTCGTCTGATTCAAGAAAATTTCTTCCTTTATTTATTTTACGTTAAAAAAAAAAAAGGATCCGCGCGGCGCGCGTACTGTCTTCTTTTTGCTAATTTTCGCATGACACGAACATGCTCGAAATCGGAGACGCGATCTCCATTCGGGCGCTGAATATAACTGCGAGTGACGAGCGAAACTCCAATCGGAAAGTATTCGTGCACGCTTTTCGGCGAACGGTCGAGGATTATTTTACTTTTCGTTACTTTCCTGCACTCTCGTTTCTCTGCTGTCTTTCTTTTCTACTTTCTACCGGGTGTCCCGTATATTCACTCGGTGTTCTTGAATTCTAGTGCGTCTATCTTATCTCGACGGTTTCCTCGTAAACTTCGTTTTTTCATCTATTTCGACCTTTCTCTCTCTCTCTCTCTCTCTCTCTCTCTCTCTCTTTTTCTAGAAACGATAGTTTTGATTAGACGAACCATGAATCTCTAACTCCATTTTCATTATCTATGGAATGTATTTACTATTTGGAAGATTAGTCGCGAACCCGCCATCTGGTGACGATGAACTGTAGCTCGATACATTTCATAAATCACCGTATCAATCGAACGTTTCGCATGAATTCTGACTGAAAATGGATCAAACGATAAGTACTAATGCTATCCTGTTACAACGATTCTTGGTATTTCGAAAGAGCCGAAAAGAACCGGAATATCCGCGAGAAGAGCATTCGGTTCATCGTACCAAGAACGATGTTCGCAGCTGACCGTAATTATTTCATGTGCAACCTGTCGAATTCGGCGACAGAGCACATTCTATGGAACTAAAACTCAATAAATACGCTCGGATCGAGGAAATGTGCTTTATCGCCGCGCGAAACACACATACACAATCACGCGTTGTCTCATTCTTTCTCACCGATTCATTCGTTTCACTTTTTCGCACCAATTATATTCTTTTTTTTCCCATATTCTCAAATATTCTATCTCTTTCTATTTTCATCCGTATCACTATTTCTCGCCATTCGCTCTTGAATCGTGCGTTATCATCGATTACTATTATCATTATATATATATATATATATATTTATTTATTTATATATATATGTATAATATTCACCTATATCGTAGGGCTCTTAAATTTTAATCGGCTAAAGTTTGCGAACTTATCGTCCTGAATTTTCTTCTAACTCGTATGTGTACGTGTATGTGTATGTGTGTGTGTTTATATAATCGTGTATTTTTATGTACAGTCAAGATTGTAATTTATCCCGTAGCAACACTAACACTGCGTTCTTAGGAAGGGTTTCTTCATTCTCTCCCACTCTTATTCGCTCCGTCTCTTTCTCTCCTCATCATCAAACGCGACGCGAACCCTGCGAGACGTGGACCGATCGATCGGGCCGAAACACTGGCCCGTCGTCGCAGACCACGATGTAATTCATCGGGAATCGAATAATATATCTCATAATTGACTTTCTGTTAATTGTAGAATACGCGATCGTTCGCGGCATCGTTTAAATACGCTATTATCTCTAGCAATTGTTATTATCGTAATAATGTAATTAGCTGTAAATCGAAGTTCAGCGACGGTCGAATGTCGACTTGTTCAAGAAAATCGACGATTCAATGTTCTTTCGCTCGATCGTCGACCGAAAGGATAAATGGAACGTCATTGTAACAAAAACGACGACACGATCGATCGTGAACCGACGATTATTAGGACGATATTTTCTTTTGTTCGCCTGTCCGCTGACGATTCTCGATCGTGGATCATCGCGTGAAAAATCAAGAGATTGAATTATATCGTTGGTCGTTTTGTGGAGTGCGCGTCGAAGTCACCGCGCAGTGTCGTCGACGCGTGCACTCGAGAGAGAAAGATCGATCGATCCTCACTCCGGTGCGACCGTCACTGCGAAAACTTGAGAACATGGGGAGCAGCGAAAAAAAAGGATTCGAACATGCCACTTACATGGCGATTAAACGTCACTATATATATTATTATATGTGTATATGTAATATAAAACGTTTGCGGAGCAACGAACGACGGGACGAATTTTTACGCGTGCCTCTTGATTTCCCACGCTGTCGACCGTCCGCTGGTTCTATTTCGATCTATTTACCTCTCTTTTCCTTACTCTCTTGTTTCTGCTGCTTCTTTGATCGTTTATCGTTTAAGAAATTAAATTTTACTAAAAGATGATTGCCTAGAAGAATAGTCGCCAGCCGAAGGATAGCTGCCGAAAATGCACTACGACCGGTTTCCATGCAAGCGAGACGTCGAACCGGATGCCCTCTGACGAACGAATTTTTCAACTCGCGCACCCTCTATCGTCCGCAAGCCGAACATCGAACTGTCTAAGGAAACTTACTACACGTATGGATCTATCATATGCACGTGTCGCGATACCGACCGCCATTTACTTCTGGTTCGACTGGATCAAACACCCCGACTGCGCGTTTTCAAATTAGATTAATCGATGAACATGTCTGATCATTGGAGGACGCGCGTTACAGGTAACCGTGATCGTCGCGGTTCGACGAGTGGTCGTCACAACACGGAAATCAATAATCTTATGTCTCCTCGCCCCCTTTCACTCGTTTCGTCTACTTTCGACTTCGTTCACAGTCCATTCACCGCTACAGTTTTGCCACATTACCATCAAGACTAACAAATGGTACGATCACGTTCCACGAACCCAGTAAACCTGTTAACTTTTACCAACTAATTTTCTCTCGACGCGACGATTATGTCTCGTCATTATTCATCGATCTCGAAGGAACTGTTAAACGAATTGTCAGCGCAGCATACGACGGAGAATGCTGCGCGTGCAGTCAAAGCGAATCTACTTATGGACGTAAGCGTTTTTTCTGGGGGTGATCGATCCTAGCGCGTGTATGTATTATCGTACGTCGTTCTTTTTCACATTTTCACTTTTTTTTTGCGTTTTAAACCGATCTATGAGTGAATTAAAATCCGATTTTCCGAATAGACCGCGATAGGCGTGGTCTTACAGAATATCGAGGTTGAAGCCCGCCGTAGGGTCGAGGGAATTCAGCAGTTCCTGAGCGCTGAAGTTCGACGTGTCTCCAGTCGGAAGGTTCTCCAGAAATTCGAGGCTAAAGTCCGCTGCGGCTACGGAAGGGTCCGTAGTGGTGGCCGGCGGTTGCGCATGTTGCTGTTGCTGTTGAGACAGGCTGCGCACTCCTGGACTACCAGCTCCGTACTGTTGATGCGGGTGCAGGGGAGAACCTGCAAGGGAATCGTTCGAACGTGATTGATAACGAGCAAATAATTTTATGATAATGTATAAGGAGGATAAATACACTAATGAGGATTAGTACAAATGATTTGATAGTGTAATAATATGGTCGAGGATAGAACGAGTTAAAGTATTTGCATATTTTCGTATTAAGCACGAAAAAAATGTAATTTCAGCTGTTTCCTGTATAAATAAATTTTAATAACATCGCTGCGTGTGTTATGACACTATTATTAATTTTTAGAAATAATCAATGTATCTTTGGTTTTTTTTTTGTAATACAACAATTCCTTAAGATAATCTTGTATGTAAAAAGGGAGAACTTGAACTTTATTGACTGCTTTTGATCAATTACAATGGATACTTCATTAAGAAGTAATAACATGAACAACTTAAATACGCATATAACAATCGTAAAACATGTTTCAATATCCTATTACTTTTTTAACAGAAGCCCGATTTATCATACTAATATAACAAAAATAAATACAAACATATAAACTTAACTGTCGAAGACATCGTTAACACGATTAATTATTTCGTTATACGTTTTGTTAGCGAACAAATCATTACATAACTATTATTTATTATTATTCTATTTAATATATCATACGAAACTGTAATCTTTCACGGTAAACACGCGTAATCGAAAGAAATCCATTTGAATAAATCATAAGTTTCATTGAATCAATCATAAAATTATCAGGTAACGAAAATTGATCGGGATCCACCATTTATCGGACGATTAATCACGTCGAAATCATTTTTCTTGTTTAACGCAAGATCTCGTTCGATCAATATTCTCCGCGGTTTGGAATCAGGGAATGGTCATCGTCCAAGACTTACCGGTTCCGGTAGTGCTGACAGAGTTGACTGATGAGGACTGCGACATTTGCATCTGCAGTGACATTTGATTATTACTCTGCTGCATGGCTAATGTTTGCTGCTGGTGTTGCTGCGACAGTAACTGCTGCATCTGAGTGCTGTTGGCCATACCGGAGCCAGCGATACCTCCACTCTGTGAGCGGATCAACTGTTGATGCTGTTGCATCTGTGCGGCGTTCATCTGCATTCCACCTGTGTTACCCATACCGAATCCACCTGGAAAATGAGGATAAGTGAAACGGTTTAACACGATTTACATTTCGTTGTGATAACTGGTATTTACTGTCTACAGGAACGCAATGATTTAATTCATCATTTATCACGTATAAAGATGTAGCCTTAATGGTTTGACTCTTTGTGTTGCAATATGGAATGGATCATGAACTAACGTGACAAATGTACGTTACTGCAATCATACAGTTTAATTTTTCATTGTAAAATATAGAACTACGAATATAACAATTGTACAAAATATCTTTCTGTTACAATGGATTAATTGGTAGACACTAATACAAGACCAAATCTATTATTATCTTGCTATCTGCATTACGAGTAAAAGAATAATTTCCAATTTTCAAATTCCACATTCCTGTCTCCAGGAAATATAGGATTATAAAATCCCATGAAATGTAACTCGCATTCTACTACTCAATATTATATTATAAGATTTAATTAGAGACGTATATAACATCCATTCTTAATATTCGTAATATCTCTTAATATTCCATTTTCTGCGAAGAAATTAATTCTCAAAACCGAAGATAATTTTCAGAGTTATAGTTGTAACCGGTTAACCGAACAGAAAAGTTATTTGTTAATTCGATATCGTTCGAAACGGCGATTACTCGTACGAATCGCCCACTGCGCGCAGGATTACAAACATGATAATGGATGTCCCAGGGAGACGCTTACCTTGGTGACCTTGTTGGTTAAATTGCGATCGCAAAGCCTGCGCCTGAAAGCCTTGTTGCTGCATGAGAACGTGTCGCCACTCCTGCTGGGCGCCGCGGCCCGCGATACTATTTCCAAGGCCATCAGGCGGACCCACGCTAACGTTAGGCGGCCGTTGATTGTTAGTCCTAGGATATCCAAGACGCTGATGCATCTGATGCATTCCGCCTATGGCGGCCATACCGCCACCGCCCATGTACATGTTACCACCGGCAGCGTGCAACGCCTGCTGCTGCTGCTGCGCAATTTGCGGCCTCATCATCGGACCTACGACAAAACAAGAACAAACGGATAGGTGATTGCTAGTGAATATTGTCATTTTTCAGGGTTTTTATGTAAAAGATTGTATAAAAATACGGCTAAGACTATATTAAGGATTCTTCTTTAAGGTTTAGATGCAATTTCTTTCATGTTAATAGGGAAGATGAAATTTCAGACATTGAGAATTTATGCTATTAGTAAATCGTCGCTCTCAAAGAAATTATATATGGCTTTCATTTGCCTTTTTCTTTATAATGGTACATATTATGTCTCTTAAAATAATTTAAACCTTGCCACTGAGAATTATGCCATTGTTGCTTAGTTGTAAATTTATTATTGAATAAATATATGTAAATTGTGTCTGACAGTTTTTTTAAAATTGACAACAAGGCGGACAAACATAAAGAAACTCTACTAGAAAAAAGAAGGATATTTTTAAAGCTTCATCTTTCAAAATTTCCAGCACATTTGCCACCAATGATGTATTTTGTATACAATTAAGTCGTAGAAAATCTTCGTCGTATCAAACAGGAAATCTCTTATCAAAGCAGAAGAAGGATTTTCTTGTTACAAATTATATACGAAAATATCTTAGGTAAGATTTACGACGACCGAAACAGACGATTGAATCGCAGAGGATGGTGATCGATCGCGGGGAAACGTTTCTTCATTCTGGCTAGCCAGATACGTAAAGAAGATACGTATTACGAAGGAAACGTAGAACCTTAATGCTCTGTGGATTTTCGTTTGGATAGAATCTTATGAAAGTAGCTCCGAGCAGATCGATAGAGGAGCCTCGTACGAGCTACGATGTATAAGAATATTTACGATCCCCTTTCCACCACCAATCCACCCTCTCCTGCTCATACACCTACATCTCGTTCTCGTTCGTTCTTTCTAGCCTCGAGCGGATCCAGCAAGAGATCGGGCTCATTTCCCTCGAATACTTATTTAACCGATCGCGATGGTTAAAAAGTGTATAAACATTATTCAAATGAATGCTTCGCGTCCGGTCAAATATTTTTTCTCGATTACTCACAGTTTACTCTTTACGTCTTTACGTCTGCTCACTTCGATTTACGTAGCTCTGTGTAATCGGAATAGTCCAATAATCAAGACCGCTGCCCAAAAAATATTTCCGAGAGAAATACATCTATTACGCTTTATTTAACTTTTAGTACAAAAATTGTGCACAGTCTTGTCAAACGAGACAAGGTAACCCTTGTCTGAATTATGGTTGGATTATTTGAGAAACTTAATGGAAGAAGTAGTATAAGTGTATTGACATAATATCCATATAGAGAACATACAAATCTTCTTGAGTACGTGTAGTGATGTGTTTTAATGTTTAGAAATATACAAACAAGTTTAGCTACAGTTTCGTTGAATCACAAATTTTATCACATATATCCTTCTCCTTCTGAACTTCTCATTTATGACTCGAATTTTACATATTGTTTTGTAAGGATAGCGGACAAGAGTGAACGAAATGGAGAAATGCAACTTTAACTAGGTTTCGAAGAAAAGTCTGATGGTCGTAATCTTTTCCTCGAGTACAGTTCTTTTATCTATGTTTTCAGAATCTCGTGGTTCTACAATTTTTATTACACGGTATAGTTTGTATATTTCTGTAGTTCCCATAATTTTGTAATTTTCGTTATTCCGTAGTGTTCGTAAATAATGTAGCAGAGATAATAAATCACAACGATTCGAGGACAGAAGAACGGGGAAATCAAAACTGTCGTACAGTGGTTGAACGCGTCGTTTCGACGAAAGACGGAGGAATCGATAGCAGCACCCAGCTTCTCATTACCCTAAGTGCCTTCCAACTCCGGCCAGTGCATATGAAAGTGACGTAACCGTCGCTACTGTCAGCGTAAAAAGCGAAACAGAGGATTGGATCGTGCCGACGTGGTTGATTTCCACTTTTAAAAACGTATACACATTTGCTCCCTCGTTTTCGTACAAGAGTATACAAGATCGACGTGCTTGAAAATGTATGTGTTACTTTTTCTTTCATCTTTTCCCCCGTTTCTTTCTTTAAAGTGTACTCGTATTTAGAATTAAATCCCTGGTCCAACAAATAACTAAATTATATACCAAATACTATAAAAATAAGCAAAATTAGACAGCAACACATTTTAACTGTAGAGCTTTGAAAGATTAAGAAACGACTTACATTAAATTTATGTTTTTCATTTCATTAATTACATAATTGAACTATGTATAGTAGAGAAGTATACAATTATCCTTAATAATTAACTTAATCGGTATAAGCGAAACATACACAAACAACACTGACATACATATATGTATGAAGGAGTTCTAATTAGCCAAACGAAGAGTCATACATTCATTAGTTGTGAACAGTACGATGTACTCACCTGAAGGTGGCATAGGTTGTTGTGTAACCCTACGCATAGGCCCGGTATTTGGAAACCTAGGCTGCTGACCCATGCCGATACTAGCGTGCATCATTTGGGCCTGAGCCGCCGCTTTGTATTCGGGAGGTGGTGGTCTCACGCCACCCATTCCTCCGGCCATGTGCTGTTGTTGCATCACCTGAAAGAACAAGTAAATAATGGATTTCAATTACATGAAATTACGTGCCTCGGATACTTTGACTTCGCGATTCGAAGCCCAGTGCGAGTAACACTACTGTTGTATTAGGTTGTCCGAAAAGTTTCTTTCGTTTCGTAAGCTGATAATAGACGAACGAGAATTTCTGTTTTATATTATTTTATTGAATTAGGTACGATCCATTTCGTTATATTTCTATTATTACGTTCGTGCATAATTCAATAAACAAAGATAAAACAAAAAACATTGTGCGTTTATTATTTCCTTATAAAACGAAAGAAACATTTTGGACAACTGTACTATTGAACTACTAGTAGTATGCTACTATTTGTGTATAACTAAATCTGTATATAAAAGATTATTTATTAATTATGTGGAAAACTATAAGCAACATAATCAAATTCGCGTGAAGACTTCGTAAAATTAACAGACATTCACAAACGTCGAAAATTCTACTCAAATACCACTCTTGCCCAATAGAAGAATATTGTAATATATCTTTTCATTTGAACTTGAGGTTCTGCTAAAAACACCTGCTATCTGCTGCGGTAACGTCATAAATGCGCGATACTAAAATGGAATCGCGGATGAAGAACACGATATAAGGTTCGACTGACGAGTCTTGAACAGCGATAAGGTACGAGTTAGAAAGCCGACCGACGGATTCCACGGGGAATAATTGCAACTCAGCTCACGGCACGCATCGATGACTCGTTAGGAGTCGCATTGTCGTCGAACTGGCGAGCACGGAAGTTCCGAGCATCGGTGTCGTTGCACAAGACCCCTTGGATTGCATTTCCACTTCCTGGTGTTACGCGGCCGTCGACGAAAGTCCGCGTATACGATGACGACAATGAAGACGGAAAGGCAACCAGAGACAGTAGCCACACGTTTTCCTCATTACCAAACGAGATACGCATTCACCATGTGCCACCAGAGGCAATCTCCACCATTTTCTCTGCGTCTTTCTTCTTAAATCGTCTACGCTTTTCTACACCCTTCTGTATTTTTTCTGACACACAGTGAGTTACACAATTGTTTCTACTACTTTAATGCTACTTTTAATACGCAGGTAAAACATTCAGCACATTTTTTTGTTTGCCACCTGTGAATTTTTATTTTTTGGTAATATTCATATCGATATAATATTATGGAAGGAAATTTTTATTTTCTCAATTTCACAAGATATCTGTACACTAGATGTAAGACTTGGAATCAATCATAAGCTTATATTAAGAGAATCTTTTATTTAACTGCGATTAAACTTCTTAACTTGCCCCGTTTTACTACATTTTTCAGAACATGCAAATAAGTATTAAATAACATAGTTATCACGTGATTGGTGCAATGTTCCAAACTTTCTATCTACGCATAAAAATTTGAACGTGTAAAATCGGAGCACTCTCGCCAGCAAACATAAGTATTTTTTCCGTTGTTGAACGTGCAACAACCAACGATTAAGCGAGCACCGCCCTATTGCTCTCACAACGAGCTTCTGGTGAACGGAGGAAGCACTCTTAAAATCAGCATGTAGCAATTTCACGCGCGTTCTTCCACTGATTCGTACTTGAGAAGAAGGAAATGAATGGTTCTCTACGGATTAACTCTTGACTGGATCACTTAAAATTATTAGTTTAACAATTTCCTTTAATATTTGTAATTTTGGCGATCTAAGTAATTGTGATATAAAGGAGATTATTCAGGAAAATAAAAAAAAACATAGTTTAAAAATAGAGAGAATAATTACAATAATATAATTTAAAATCGATACAATATCTAAATTAATCCCAATTAAAAAGAGAGAAGAACAGATATTCGTCGATACCATATCGTACCAATCGATATAACTGATTATCAATCGTTAAAAAATCTGATTTAAGAGAACCGCGTATTACAGATCGATCATTTCGCCGAAGAAGCAACAAATCTTCGTTATTCTTCGAAAATCGAGGAAACTTTGCCAACGTTCTCACGGCAATTGGGGACGCGATTGCACTTCACGGTAGCTCAATTACATAGAAAGTGACCCAGAGCTCGACCCATGCAATCTTGAAAAATCTTCCTTCATTTTGTAACACGATTCCAAGCGATTCTACCTAACATCAAGAACAAGCAATTATCAAACGATCTGGTGTTTAACTCTTCAACCTGTACAGCCTGCGTTTGTTTTATTCCATTATAACGAACGTACGAAAAACAAAAAGTGAAAAAGGAAGAAAACGTGATCGAAGGAAATATCGAGAAAGAAGAAAAGAAAGATCCGCACTGATGAAGAATGACTAACCAATTGCGTGAGACCTACAATTAGTAATTGGAGCACGATCAGAGAGTTGCCTTCGATACTCTAACATCGTTAAAGTAATGCTTGGTATTACAACTGAGTCATTCGTTAATAAATCGTGCGGCGTGTCCGCGAGCGGGAACGTGACCGCGCCGCAGAGAACCCGTTACGATTTATAAATCGTTAATAATTTTACTCTGCTCATCGAACAGCTTTCGATTTTCTTCCAGTATGTTTTTCTTGAGAGCATGTTGATAGATTATCGTGATACCTTATTTCTTGATATTTACATTCTTCTATTCCCGATAGGTTGGAATAAACAGAATTATTAATTATACTTTGACAGATAAATCACACGTCAGATATGTTTCTTAAACATTTTATACGTTAACTGCCACGCGAATATTTATATATTCTGCTCTGAGAACCGCAGCAGATTGAGATATACTATATCATGATATTTAATCTTTGCAAAGTATTATGTTGTATTTGGACACTTTCTTTCGACAATGTTATTTAAGTCTTTGTCGAAAGTCTTTATCTTATTTTGATCATTCTAACAGGTCTAGTAAAACGTGGCTCATCGATGACCACGATAGTAGTCGACGTATTAGGCACACATTTTACGAACGTTCCTGTTGAAGGAATATCGTATAACGTTTGTGTTATAGAATTAGATCGACAGGTAATGGCTCGAATTTATGCAAATGTGATTTCGATGACTCGACGTGTAATTTGATATTCAATGTTTTAACAATTTTTCAATAGTCGAGCGAAGGAGCAAGTGTTCGAGGGGATAATTCGTGGAAGAAGACGATTCAGTGACAGTAATTGAGCTCGTGGACACAGTTTCTTCCGATGCAAATTGGAAATGCATAAAAGATGAAGAACACGGTGCCGGACAAGATGTAAATGACTGCATGCAAATGTTGTCTGATTGCAAAGTTGCCGGCGTTACATTATACCTCGAGTAACTAGAACAACAGGCTCGATACAGACGCACGTCTTTCGTCTCGTCTTTTTCTGTTTTCCTTTTCCTCTTTTGTTCGCGTCGGCACAAAGAACAATATGGACCGATAAACTCTACTAGTTCTAAATGGCCTTTAATGCGACGTAATTCGTAAAGATGTAAAACTAACGCGTTCACCTGCAATTTAAAACTCTAATGAGCTGAATGCACACGCCGATATGCATAAGTGATGTTTATGGAATGAAAAGCAGAGGAGAACAAATTTGCACACGTAACGTCGTAATATCTTCACGACGGTCACTTTTTTATGTATATCGCTTATTAGCAATTCACCGTGTTTATTGTCACAGTGTTTGTTAGTGCGTGTTTTCTTTTATTATTTGCTATGCGACAGAAAGAAGTACTTAAAGTGGATAATATAATTTTATTAAGATTCAAACACTGGATATCACAATTTCATTTTTCTGATTATTTATATTAACTTTTATCCTCATAATTGACAATAAAAACTGTAGATAACGATACAATATGAAACATACGAAACAACAAATTCAAGTTCATCCTAGAATATTTTCTGAAGTCGTAAATATCGTCGTGTCTGATTCATAAGAAGTCTAACATCGAAGGCAACCATATTGGAGTAACAACAAAGTAATTACGAACTTTTATTAAAAGAATTATCATGCATACATTATTCTCTTTATTTAAATTAATTTCCATTTGTCAGATAATATTTTTTATGCTGTTAGATTGTCTATAACGTAAGTTTAATGTTAAAGTTCATTATATGTGAACTGTTAAATTAATAATAATAATAATTAATAATTAAATTAAAAAAAATTGAAATTTCGTATATTTAGAAAATAAATCGTAACACGAAGTCACAGTCAATTGCGTACGAATAATAGCACATAGTAAAATAAACATTTAATTTAGCAATGAAAATACATAAATAACAGGAACAAAAAATGGTGAATAACAAACCGCAATAATTTCACTCGATCAAGCTCCTTCGAGCATGGCAAACCGCATTCGTAAACATCGTAAAAAAGGCAAGATCTTGTTTAGTCGCGATAACACCAGACATTACGTTCTCTCCAGGAAGTGCACGCGAACTCAGATTTCCCGGTTACAGAAAAAGTTTCCATTCATTGTTCCGCGGCTTTCAAGACGTTTGTCCTATTTGCGTCGTTTCTTTCAGCGCGATGGAACCAAGAAGTTGCAAAGGAGCCGCGATACCTGTTGCTCACCATCGCCGGATACCAACTTAATGTTTCGAATAACGCGCGTCGCGACGACTCTGCGAATTCTCAATTTCTTTCTTTTTATTGTATTCGCAGAATTTAAAAAAAATTTCACTTCTCTCAAAAGTTCTTAACATTTTTAAATGGAAATGTTTTGTAAAGCCTACTTTCCCTCGCTATTGTAGCCATCGCAATCTCTACTATCACTTTATCCGTTGAATTAATTATTACAAAACCTAATTCTCCGGCGAACCCCTCTGTTATCTCCCCGATCAAAATTTAATAACTAATTACAATCTCGCAAATTTTCCTTCGCATAATCACGATTATTTACAATCGCGATGAGAGTGTAAAATACCGCGGCGTTCCTCGCAACCTCCATCCAACCTTATTCCAAGAACAACACCCTTATTCCTTTATCGAAATTAAAATTCCCCCGATCAACCGCAGATTAAACCAAACCCATCACGAATCAAGTTTCCTCACCCCTTTACTCGCGAAACACCATTTCTATTACCATAGATAAACATCGCTCGCGGTACCATTAGGTAATTAAACCATAAACCAGTCCCCTGGCTCACACCCTCCAGGCTAGAGCACACGACAAGACATTCTAGAAAACTTTCGATCGATCATGGAATAAGACACATACCTGCTGAGCGCGCATTAGCTGCTGCTGCTGAAGAATCTTCGCATGTTGATGTTGATCCACTTGATTCGGTGGCACTTGCTGGGGATGGTTGCGTGCAGCTGCAGCGCCAGCGGGTTGGGAAACGCCACCCGCGGC